CCTCACGTGTCCTCACCTGTCCTCGTCCCAGGACATCCCTCACCTGTTGTCACCTGTCCCCATCCCAGGACATCTATCACCTGTCCTCACCTGTCCTCATCCCAGGACATCCCCTCACCTGTCTCACAGGTCCTCGTTATAGGACATCCCTCACCTGTCCTCGTCCCAGGACATCCCTCACCTGTCGTCACCTGTCCTCGTCCCAGGACATCCCTCACCTGTCCTCACCTATCCTTGTCCCAGGACACCTATCACTTGTCTTTATCCCAAGACATCCCTCACCTGTCCCTGCCCGTGAGGGCAGAATGTGCGTGAAGGGTGCACATACAAAGCCTGTGCGTGTTCGGCACCCAGCGTCCTTGGTTACCACTCACAACTGCGGTCACCTTCCCTTCACGATGACCCCTAATGCCAGTGACAGGGGAACCAGGACAGGATGGCATGTGGCCTCCCCAGGCAAACACAGAGCTCCTCTCATGCACATCCTGTGTCCCAGAACGCGCGTGTGTACCCGGCCAGAAAGCCCACCCGCACGCCGGGCTCAGGCACTGGGGAGAGGGGAGCCCGCTCGGGAGGAGAGTGCTGGCTGGCGGGCGGGCGAGGGCCAGGCCGTTCGTCCCAGGCCGTCCTCTCATGTGCCCAGGGGCTGGGGACAGGGCCAGGCAGTGAGTCCCCTGCCTCCCGGGCAGGCCGGCCCCTGGCCACGACGCTTCAAAGAGCAGGTAAGTGCCGTCCCAGAGCTGAGACATCCTCCCAGGCTCAGCGGCCCCAGCCCAGCCCTCTCCCGCCCAGGGAGGGAGAGCAGACAGGTCTCGGGGACGCCCCCTCCCTCGTGCTAGAGTCTCACTGCTGGACGTGTGGGCAAGACCCGCGAGGCGCTTCCCGCGCTCGCCGCGTTCCGTGCCCGCAGACGGGACCTCCGCCTCTCAGTGCCCCTCGCCCGGGACCCACTGGGGAGACAGTGCCGACACCTTATTCACAGGTGAGAGACCCGGGGTCGGAAGGGCCACAGCCCGGGCACCCGGGGGCAGCGGACTGTGTCTGTGTACTCACGGTGGTGATGTAGCGGGAGTGGAACTCAGACGCCTCCTTCAGGAAGGCCAAGCCCGGGTGCGTGTTCACCACGTCCTGCGCACGCGAGACAAGACGGAGGTGGGGGACGCGCACAGTGCCCACCGAGCCCTGGAGCCCGTCTGCCGCGTGCCCCCACGGCTTCGGCATGGACGCCCGCCAGGCGTGGTGGCGGTGTGAGCGTGTCGCTGCCTCACCCACGGGCTCGGGACCACGACCGGTTCCCGGGAGCCCGCACCGCACCTGTCCCCAGCAGCCGAGACCCGACGGGACAAACACGGAACGGCCCCCACGCAGCGGCACGCATGCGACACCCTCACTTCCGAGCAGCACCCACGGGAGCCTTCAGGTCACGTCTGCAGGGATAAGTGCGCTACCGGGAAGGGCTGCGTGGAAAATGCCACAACGCGAGAACTGCCCATGCTCGAGGACCGCGCTCGGGCTGCGCGACGCCCCGGACGGGCGTGGAGGGGAGGGGAGGGGAGGGGAGGGGAGCGGAGTGCTGCGTGCGGAGGACGTTCTGGAATGCCACAGCCTGTGCCTACGCCGCAGGGGAGCCCGCCAGGGGCCGGAGTCCCCCCTCCACGGCCCCGCCACTCACACACGCTCGCACCGCGCGGGCCACGCGCGGTCCCGCCAGCGACGCAGGCTCGAAGGGGCGGGTCCCCGAGCCGTGTGTGTGGAACGCGCTACCCTGAGGAAAGGGAGCCCCGTCTCGCAGCTGGCACGCGGCGCGGAGGCAGGGGCAGAGCCGTGAGGAGGGGAGAAGGTGCCTGCGGCGCAGACGTGGGCGCACCTGTAGGAAGGGGACGAAGTCCTCCTGTACCAGGTAGTTACAGCCGGGATTCATGAGCAGGTGGACGAACTTGGCCGCGTCGTCGTGGCAGTTCTGGAGGATCCTGCAGCGACAGAGGACATGCCGGTGGTCCCCCCACACCACGTCCACGAGGCCCCTCCCAGACGCGGGCGGCGGACGGACGCCGGGCCCCCCACCCTGGAGGCCAGCTCCCTGCTCTCGCCATCTCGGCCACAGGAGCCCGGGCCCGTGACGTCCCCTCTCCCGACACCCGCCCCCCGCGCTCCCGCCTGGGACTCACTTTCTCCACATGGCGACGAACTTGTGCACAGACACGGAGCCCGTGCGCTCTCCCCCGGCACTGCAGAAGAGCGGTCCCTTCCAGTACAGCGGGCAGCCACACGCCTATGGGACGGGGGCACAAGCAGGCGGTCAGCGCCTCCCGGGCCCCCACCGTGGCCACCACACCGCGCGCTCCCACGGGGACGCCGCAGACAACTTCTGCTGTGCCAAGACCCCTCTGGAAGCCTGTGAGCCCCGCACACACGAGCTCCAGTGAGCCGTGAAACACACGGCGTGCGTCCTTCCCCGTGCACCAGGGACAGCATCTGTCACATCGGGTGACGGGAAGGCAGCTCGAGGACGGGGAACGGACCACCCCCTGACCAGCACACAGTCTACCGGCAGGCAACCAGCAGGTGCCCAAACTCTGCATGTCTAGAAACACCTCATGATAAACACGGACGATAGGACACACAGCGTAAATTAGGAAGGGCTCCGAAATGCAACAGTGAAAACGCCGTCCATCGGATTCACCAAACGAGCACTGACAGGGGCGTTCGGCCCGCGTAGCAGCACAGAAGGCTGATCGCCGGCAATCGAAGCTCCCATTGCAAAAAAGCAAACAAAAGAAGAAACACAGAACAGGCAGAAATGAAGACGAAAGAGAGCAAATATCTTAATACGGAAAATCAGCAAAACCGAAAGTCCGTTCTTTGAAGATCTAAAAAAGACCGTAACGCCCCTCAGAAATACTTGTCAAGAAGTAAAGAAAACACAAGTTACGAATGTCTGCTGTCACGGCAGTTCCCACACGCGACAGAAAGGCAGGAAGCGTGTGACACCAATGACTTCACGCCAACACGTGCCACAGCTCTGGGGACACGCACAGACTCCCGGATCCAGGGGTCTGACCAAATGGACACAAGAAAAGATCTGAACAGTTCTATGCACCTGCAAAAATACAAGCCTTAACTCCAAACTTTCCCACAAAGAAAAGTCCGGGCCCCAAAAGTCCGCCAACGAGCTTGTTCAAATATTTATGGAAGAAATCACACAGACCGCACACAAACTCTTCCAGAGACTGAAAGTAAGGGGCATTGGGTAATTCTCATTACGAGGGCTGCACACATACTGACATGTGTCAGGAACGCAAGGAGAATTAGGAGCCGGTTATCCATCGCGATCAGTAATGCAGAAATGCCACAGAAAATGCATCGTGAACCGATTGAACTCGGCCACTAAACAAACAGCGATGAAGAAACAGCACACGGAGAAACTAAGAACAGAGACGTACCTTCTTCCTTTAATGTGTTTTTGTAATGTCTACCCCCAGTGTGGGGCGCGAACGCACAGCCCCGAGACCAGGAGTCACGCACGCCACAGCCTGGGCCAGCCACCTGCCACGGGAACCCTTACCGCGATGAAGGGAATCCACACAAGGCCCGCGGCTCATGTCACGTGCCAGGGTGATGCGTGCAGGCCCCGTGCCTGAGCCGGGACCCAAGCCAGGGCACCAGGGCTGCAGGCCGGCCCGGCCAGGCGCCGCGGCCGGAGAAGACAGGCCGCACAGGAGGCCCCGAGAGTATGGAAGTCACAAACGTGTGGCAGGGCGTGCGGGAACGCGGAGGGTCTCGGAGGGCAGTGAGGACGCGCCCGGGAGGAAGCGTAGCCACGTCGCCAGGCGCAAGCACCGTGTCTGTGAGGCCGTTCTGTGCCCACCCGCTGGCAACAACCGGAAAACGAACTCGTCCGCAGCGCTGTGTGTGAAACGCGTCCAGCAACCCATCAAGCGTGCACCCCACACGGTGTCACGTGCGCACAGAGCCGGGCACAGATCTTTGCCGGGGCACCGAGGACCCCATGCCGGGCTCCCGCAGTGGAGGAGCCGACGCCGGTTCCCGGAACGAGTGACCCACGGGCTCGACGCGAGGCCAGCAAGCACCAGCGGGTGTCTGTGGGGCAGGGAAGCTGCTTCGAAGGTGCTGCAGGGACACGGAGGGCTCTGCAGGCTTACTGCTGAGTGACGTGCGTGACCCGGGCGCATCTGGGCCAAGAGGGACCCGCCGGCCGCAGGGAACAGGGTGCGGAGCAGATCGGACCCGGCAACGGATCCCGCGGTTCAGGCGCAACGAGTGGGCTCCAACGGGAGTGCCGCGCCACCGGGAAAGCCGCCCTCAGCTGCGCCACGAGCAGCGCGCGACGGGTCCCCGTCCGGAACGGGACCGCCACGGCCGCAAACTCTCCGCGGGAACACGTGACGAGCGGGTCGGCCTGGCTCCGGGGCCGCGAAGACCGACTCCCCACGCGGGACGCGGAGCACCCTCAGCCCCGGGGGGAGGTCCGCGTCAGCTTCACGTCAGCACCGTCTGCCGGGAGATGCCGTTGAACGAGGGAACGGAACCCGCTGGCGGCAACGTGAGCGTCTGACCAGAGCCACGGGCGGCATGTTCCGGAAGGGCCAGTCGAGGGGCCAAAGGCCGCCGTGGCAGCGCGTGAGCCCGAACAAGCAGTCACTCGAGAATGGGACGCACACGCGCCCGTGCGCCCGCGAACACGCGCTCCACCTCAGGACTCGTGACGCAGACGCCAGGAAGCGTGCGAGGAGGAATCAGGGCGGCCCGCACGGAAGCGGCCACGTGTCTGCGAGCAGGGCCCTGCACGAACGCTGTGCACACCCACCCCCTTGGGGGTGCTGCCTTGGAGCCGGATCGCGGAGGAGAGCACGGGGACCACACTTTTGGGTGATGGGTTTTGGGTACCCCCGAGCCAACACTGCCTGGTGCAGGTGTCGAGGCATCACATGGAGGCGACGTCGCACGGAGGTGACGTCGCACGGAGGCGACGTCGCACGGAGGAGACCTCGCACGGAGGTGAAATTGCACGGAGGCGACCTCGCACAGAGGCGACATTCATGGAGGTCACATCGCACGGAGGGGACGCAGGGCCGCCCGAGTCACGACAGGTGATGGAGGACAACGTCCAGAAGAGGGCTGGAGGGCTGACAGGGAGCGGCCGGAGGGAACTCTCCGTGGTGCCAGGAACATCTGGAGGCTCGCTCTGGGTGGTGGCCACGCGGATGTGGGGACATTCGCAGCAGTCGGGACCGGGGCTGATGGCCCCGAGGCGTCTCCCGGCTCTGTGAGTCCGTCCCCGAGGCGGTCTGCGCCCACGAAGCTCTGCGCTCTCCTGTGAGGGGGGCCCTCCGCGCACGCGTTCCAAGTCGTGCCGGCCTGTCCTGCTGCCAACCAGCCCCGCAGCCAGAGGGCTGGCCCTCAGGCGCTGGCCGCGGCCGACACCGCCCCTCAGGACGCTCTGTTAACTTTCTGAAACGAACGGCAGCCTTCACCTCTACGACACCACCAACAGAAAACCAGCTTACGAACAAGTCCAAAGAAGAAGACGCATCACATAAGCAGACCTTTGCTTCTTATCAGCTTCGTACAACATACGCGCGTGAAGATTCACCGTGGTAGGGTGCACGCAGGTGGCCGGTCACGTCTGTCCCCGCAGTCCGAAGAGCCGGGCCGCGGCCAATGTGGCGTACCCCGCCCACACCTAGCCAGCCCCGCTCTGCGTCCCTTTCGTGGAACGTGCTACACATGGGACCACGCCACCTGTGGCCTTTCGGCCTGGCTTCCACTCAGCATCCTGCTTGTGAGACACGGCCCTGCTGGGGCGAGCGTGAAGTCATGGACCAGGAGCGGTCTGCGCCCCGGCTCCCGGCACAGCGCGTCCGGAACCTCGGTCAATCCCCACAGGACAGGGTGCCAGGTGCACCGTCCGCGCCGACGCCGGGTGCTTGGCTGTCGCTGCTGACGCACCGCTCCTACGTGCCTTGGGGCGTCCCGGCCGACGGGCGCGCCTGTTGTTTGCAGGTGGCCCTGGGTGGCCCTGGGGGCGCCGGACAGCAGGAAGGCTGAGCCAATGTGAGACACCTGGGCCGTTTGGCCTCACGCCATCCTCTGGGGAGGAGCGCACCTGGATGCGGGGGCAGGGATGCATCCCAGCGATGCCGGAAGCCTCCGTGAAAGTGAAGGTGACGGCTGGGCAGCTGCTGGGTGGCGAAGACACGCGGGCACGGGGCTCCCAGCGCTCACCTGCTGGGCCGCTTCCTCTGTCTGTGCAGCTTCACCCTCCCACAGGGAGGGGCCGTGGGAACCCCCGGGTCTACAGCTGGCTGCTCAGCGCAGAGGAGACAACCTGGGATCTGTGCCGGGCGGGTGAAGTGGGCGGCCCTGGGGACCTCGGCCCCTCACCCTGGGGTCTCTGTTACCCCTGCGAGGCGGCCCCGGAACGGACTGGAAAACACAGTGCAAGCTAGTTAATGCCGGATGAGAAAGAAAGAGACGCACGGCACACTGATGCACGAGACGCCTGTAAAGCCGTGTCTACGAGGAAGCTCACAGCACCGCACACGAACGTCGGTACGGCCACGGCAGGCCGGAGCAGCCTCGTGCACGAAGCGGCGAGAACACGGCGATCCCGGAGGGAGCCGAAGGCAGGGAGCCATCCCGAGAAGGCCGGAAGCCAGTGTGCCCGAACGTGGCCACAAAAACAACCCCGGAAGCGGAATGGGAGTCCTGGGAAAAGATCAGGAAAACCAGGCCGTGTGGCCGACGTGGTTCAGCACGCACACGGGAGACACACGCGCTGGACTGCACATGCCAGGGCGGCCTCACTACGGCTTCCGACACGCTGGGTCTTAGCCCAGCCAGCTTAGCACCTGACGCGCCTGCACGGACACGTGGGACGCACGCCCTCAAGTCTCATGTGAGGACACGTCAACGTCCTCGGTCTACTAAGCACACAGAGGAAGGAAACTGTGGTGAGGAATTCAACGTAACCTTCCCAGAAAGAAACAAGGGTGACCCCAAGTGGGTCCCATGCAGAATATTCAGGGAGCGAAACTGATTCCAAACACACAGTTCCGGAACACGGACTGGTAAGGAGCGCTTCCTGAGAAAGTGGATGAGGCCGGCCCGACAGCAAAGCACACCACAAATGCCAGGGACGGATGGTGGGAGACCCCAGTTGTGAACCGAGATGAGATTTAAGCCCCCGCGAGCCACTAGAAGCCGGAACCCGAGGGCACGTAAAGCGGAGAGGATGGCGTTTTTGATGAA